GGGTTTTCAAAACTTTGGGGCCTTGGAAATCCCCCGGGGAGTTTTAAAAAAAAAAAAATTTTTCGAAATCCCCCCCCCCCCCCCCCCCAAGACTCAGAGCCTGCAGGTCTGGACCAAGGCCCTGCAGTCTGCATATTTAATAACTATGGTGGGGGGTTTGGGTTACATAGACATCCCTCCCCGTCCTGTTCAGAGAGATTCAGGGGACCTGCTTCTCAGATGGGACTCAGACTGCTGGATAATGAGGCTGCTGACAGCAGTAGCTTCCATTCATTGATCAACTACCATGTGCTTTGGGCTTTGAAGGCCCAAAGGCCTGGGTTTGAATCCCCGTCCCACCACTTTCTGTCTGTGTGACCCTGGGCAGGTCTCTTGACCTCTCTGACCTCGGTTTCCTTGCCTGAGAAATGGGGACATTAGCAGTACCAGCCCCTCGGGCGGATGTAAGGATGAGCTCAGGCGTGTTGGGTGCTCGGTGCTGCACTCAGCACACCCGGGCGCTCAGGGGACGGTGGCAGTATGACTGTGCGCCCGACTGTTCTGTCCCCAGGGCACCCTGCAGGCAGGTGGGTCACTGCTGTCACTGAGCGTTAGTGAGGACGGCGAGGGTCACACCAGCGGCAGCAGCGGAGCTGGGCTTCACACCTGGGTTTGTGCGGGTCAGAGCCTGCGCTCTCCAGCCCGTGGCACTGTCCCCCTTGAACCCGAGGCCTCCCCAGGGAGAGGAGAAGAGACACTGCAGTGTGCAGGCCCTTTTACAGGTGCCCGAGGGGCCTGGCACCTGGGGTCGGGCAGGTTTAACTTCCCTGGAAGCCGAGGCCAGAGAGGAGCAGGGAGCACGTGGAGGACTAGAGGCCCAGACCAGCGCTTTTCCTGGCATGACCTCTGCACCGTGAGGGTGGGTGGGGGTGGCAGGCTGACGCAGGGACACCTCTGGGGTGCTCACCTGCCCTTTTACTGCCCAGGAAAATGCCAGCAGAGAGGCTGCAGGGGGTTCCCCCAAAGCCATTCATAGGACAGCCCTGCGAATGGCGGTCTACCAGGCCGGGAACTGGGCTCCAGACAGAGGTTTCCCATCTGGGGGGCGGGGGTGACCCCCTCAGAAGAGGATGAGCGTCTTCGTGCAGTTTGGGGTCGACGTCTGTCCCTCTTGTTAGTCCTCACAGGTGTTTATGACCCTCCCCGCCCAAAAGGCCAAGCCCTGCTACCCTCGCATTGTCCGTGTAGAGGGGAGGAGGGGCTGGGACGTCCCTTCCCCACCCACGGCTGGTTGTTTCTAGAAAGTTGGCCTTGTTCCTGAAAAGCGCCACCCTGCCCCCAGCCTCAGCCCCCACTGGTTTACAGCAAGCCTTCCTCTCCCAGACCCCCCGGAGCGCCCGCCCCTTCTGCTGGGGCCCCAGGGGGTGTTCGGAGGAAGGAGGTCCTGAGAGCAGAGACCAGGCCCCCCCCTCGCCCCATGAGTGCCCCCCAGCTGCAGCAGAGGCTCAGGAAGGAGAGGGTGTTCCTAGGCAGGCACTGTCCGTGGGGTTATTTAAATTCAAATGAATGAAAATGAAATATAACCTGGAGTTTGGGTCCTCAGTCACATCGGCCACTTTTCCAGTGTCCGAAAGTTACGTGGGGTTATGGCTGCCGCGCTGGCAGCACAGAGAGGAGGCCTGTCCATCCCTGTAGAAGCTTCTCTCAGTGGCGCCGGCTGTGTGTCGGGGAAGATGCCAGGGCTGGGCTGGGTGCGGAGGGGACGAAAGAATGAGTTAGGGGACAGCAGCTCTGTTTGCAGGCCAGGGCTCCCCCAGCGCCCAGGGTGCCCGCTTCCCCTCCTGGGCACGCCTCCTCCCG